GCTTTTCTGCATCCATGACACAACAGCAGCAGCAGCAGCTCCTCCAACCAAACAGGACGCTTCACCGACACAAAGCACATCAGCAGATCCTCTGGAAACTGTTGTGCAGATTCTTTTTTTGTTTTATGTGGAATGAGAAGCAACCGATGCAGTGCAACTTGTTGATGGGACAACAGGTGTTTAGTGACAGTGTAAACAAAGCCATGTTGAATTGCTGGTTTCTTCCACCAGCGAGTGAGTCGACTCACTAAACCCTAAGCAGCAGAAAGCTCACCGCGCTGCACGGTATTATCAACCAATACACAGAAACCTGATCACTGAAGAGCTCAGAGGCACAAAGACATTAAAATACAGGTTGTTGTTTTTTTTACACTGCAGTCATTAAACTCGGGGATGAAACGAGGCCCTCCTGGATCAGGACCACACCTTGAAACACACACAGCGGCCTCTCAGGGGATCCTGGATCTGGCTGCAGCTCAGCGACACTCAGTCAGTGTGTGAATCAAATGAAGGCTCCAGATGATAAATTCACTCTAAAAAATATATGAAATATTGTTTTGCACTTGATTTAAATCAGAACATTTTACTGTAATTTTACGGATTTCATTTGGCTAATGGTTATTTGAACGTTGCTTTATGATTTTCTATTCTGTCCTCGACTCATTTTTCCTTTAAACTGAAAAAGAAGCCAAAGAATTCTCTTCTAATAGTAATGTTTATCAAACCTTTGCTCTCCACTATAATTTGCAAAAACAAAAAGCTGTTTTAATTTGTTATTCCCAGTAAATGAGAGACGAATATTTGTGGCCTCGGCTGTAAACAATATGAAAGAAATCCAACAGAACTCCCGCCTTCATTCATGTACTGGGTTTTCAGCCATCAGCTATGTGTTCCAGAGGTCAACGAGAAGCATTCACGTGCAAACTTAATGTAGCTTAACCTGTTTTCTTTTTTCTTTTTTTTTTAAAGTAACCAGGCAATAGAGCAAACATAGTGAGGACCTGAGCCAACCAGTAAAACCTGCCAACAACCCGAGGCAGGAATCCGAGACGGTGTGAGACGTGTCAGCCAGCAGAATCACTGAATCACTACCACCATCATGGGGGCTGTTCTGGGCCTTCGCTGTGGGTCGGCGTTCCTCCCGAGGTGCAGCTCTTTATCGTTCCTTTGGATTTGATGGCAGCAAGTGAAACGTATGATATCTACACAATGATGGCCAATGACGGCAGAATGTGAAAGTAGACCCCATAATACAATGTGAAAATAGCTTCATGCTAATACTGAGTACTGGCTGTTGGAGATGTTGAGAAACCGTTTAAGGAAACAACGAGTGACATCGATCAGCCTGTCAATGAATACGTTACAGTCAAACACGCAGAGTTCTGTTGGAACACAAACCATCTGCCAGAACCGGCCTCAGTTCAGATGTGATTCAGACAAAACATCCATCCATCATCTCTACACCTTAATCCTCACCAGGGTCATGGGGGTCTGGAGTCTATCCCAGCTGACTCAGGGTGAAGGCAGGTTCACCTGGACAGGTAACCAGTCTATCACAGGGCTACACTTAGAGACAGACAACCAAGCACACTCACATTCACACCTACGGACAATTTACAATCACCAATTAACCTCAGCATGTTTCTGGACTGTGGGAGGAAGCCGGAGAACCCGGAGAGAACCCACGCTGCACGGGGAGAACATGGAGACTCCACGCAGAAAGATCCCGGGTGTCCTCACCGGCAACCTTCTGGCTGCGAGGCGGCGATGCTAACCACCGCTAAGAATGAACAGACACTATGATTTCCATTGAAAAGCCCTGTGCCAAGTCTGAACCACTTGTCCATCGGGTTTTTGGAGCTAGACTGTCAAAGTAGTACAGTGTCCACTTCAGAAGGACAACCAGTGCCGCTCTGATCAGTGGAGCTACAGCTGGCTGTGTTCCTCCTGATTACTGCTCACACCATGAGTCCACTGGTTTTAGTGGCTCACTGAGCTTCCTGTATCTTTCACCATCTTTGTGAAGCCCCACAACCAGACTTTTAAATTCATCTGACATTTCTTTTTCATGTGGAACCATGATGCAGACAGGCCCGGCCCACACGGCCCAAACTGGGAAAGTTCTTGTGTTTTCAGCTGCAATTAGGCTAATTGGAAATCACAGCTTCTGACTGAAGCTCAGGTTTAAATGTGCTGTTTTAGCTGTAAGCTGAAGACATGCTGGTAACAAAAGACGCCTTCTGGCCTGAAGTGAAACCTGAAAAGCCTCATCTTCAAAACTCACAACCACCTTTCTGGATTATTTTAATCTCATTTTCTTCATCTTCAGTGTAAAAATGGAAAAACAAAAACCAACCAGAGTTCATGTGCTGAAGGTAAAACGCTGATGTCCACGTACAGGAAGGAGGAAGGAAGCCTGACAGGAAGAGGCAGCCTCTGCTCACATGGGGGTAAGAGGGCAGTTCTGTGAACAAGTGCCCCCCCTGTAGGAGGTCCTGAGACGGAGCTAGTTCTCATTTAAATCTGACTTCCAGCTCCACATAAAAACAATCAGTCATACTGTGTGTGTTCATGTGGGGGAAAGTTTAGAGGCTCCAGAAATAAACCAAATATAAATATATTCAACTAAAACACAAGAAGGGAAACTTATTCAAAGTGATGAACTCTGATGTGGTCACACAACAGGAAGCAGCTGCAGGCGCCACTAGATGGAGCTCTCAGCCTGTCCACCGCCACTCCGGCACCAGGGTGGACAAAATAATAGGAATAAGTAGCTGCAAATATGGAACAGGTTAAAATATATCAAATGTTTTCTAAACTGGTTCTAATGTGTTGACTAATGTTATTTTATCGTTGCTGTAACATTTTGTCGTGGCAAGTCCTTATTTCTGTGCCCACCAAGGAGTCATCTGTCAATTAAAGGACCCACCTTCATGCTCTAGCTCTAAACTGAATATATATTAAAGTGTATAAGACAAGTTCGGTCCATTCTGTTTCACCACCACGTGTTCTTTCACCAGATTAGGATGTGACTGTGACAGGATGCTTTAATTTAATTTAAGGTTTTAGGTTGTGAAACTACAGGATAAAACTCTTCAGGGGTTGCAAACATCCAGTTTGATGTTTACAGGCTAATAGTTTGACCATTAGAAGATGTCTTTATGTTTTAGATCATCACCGCTTTTTAACATCCAGACCTTTTTCTGGATGGTCCCAGTGTTCAGAGCTGTGGTCCGGTCTTCAGAGAGGATGGACGTCACTGCTAAGGTGTCATGTGCCAGAGCCGCCTGAGCCGTAAGACAATTAGGACGAAGATGTAGCACACAGCAGCGTTTAACTGAAGACGCTGCTTAGATACGGCACGACTAAACAGGTTACAGCAAACCCAAGCTGCTCACCTGCTGCTCGCTGGAGCCGAGACGGAGCTCAAGTGGAGGATGTAGGTCAAGAAATGTTCGACGTTTAACAAAATCTTAAAAACAGGTTTAATTATTTAGACTCACCGGTCAGTACTCTTCGTTAATTTAGCATTTTCTTTTTTGTCCCCAACTGCAGTTAGAGGAAGGTTGAAGAAGAGTTACCGAGCTGTAATAACTTAGAAGACTTAATCAGTTGTAGGTTTATAACAGAAGTCAAGTATGTCTTCTTATGAACAGTCCAGACACCTGAGTTCTGGTTTCAGTTGGGGGTTTGTTGCTCCTCCCCCTCGTTATGCGAGTCGTTAGTGCTCCCCTGACACAGTGGGGTTCGTTAGGCTCTTTTGTGGCTCGGTGTGGATGTGGGTTCATCTTCGAGTTTCTGTGACAGCTCAGACAGTCAGAAGGACAGTGGATGACATCAACCTCTGTGGATGGTCTCCAAGACAAACATCATCCCCCATCAAAAAACTAAATGATGAAAAAAAGCCTAAAGAATGCTGAGAGCACATTCTTTGGTCAGATGATGTTCAAGAGGAATTTATTTGGCTCAGACAAGAGCTTCTGAAGAGGAAAGCGTGACTTGACCAAGTATGCTGCCTGACTTCATCCCAGTAGGACACCTTCAGGGTGTTTTAAAGAGAAAGCTGGAACAGAACAACCCCTCCAGCAAAGAGCAGCTGAAAAAAAA